TTTTCTCTATAATTCATTTGCTGGTTTGTTTTTTCTTTTCTTTTCTTTTCTTTTTTTTTTTTTTGTGTGTGTGTACATGCTGTATATTGATTGTCTTTGTGTGTGTGTGTGTGTGTGTGTGTGTGTGTGTGTGTTTCTCATCTATCACATGAATTGTTACTTGCTGAATCAAGAAAAGATGGGGATTCTCTGGGTTGGACATATTAAGCACAGATTTTTATAAGTAGCATGATGTAAAAGAAAATATTGAATGAAGTTTTCAGGTTTTAATGCTAACATTTAACTCCAGTTCTAGACTTCCTTGCTCTTAATTTTATAAATTCTAGGCAAATAAAATTTACTGACTTTTCTATTATGTTTTACATCTTTAGTTATATTTAATTGTAAGACTGCAAAAATGTTAGTGTAACTTTAATAACTCAAAATATTTTAAAGAAATAAATCAGTTTTACTTGGTATTTCAGTCTGAAAGATATAGAAACCTCCTCTGAATGAAAGTAATGCACCTATAAGTATATGGATTTTCAAAAAATAAAATAATATTTGAGAACTCATAGCAAATGACTTTATTTTTGGCAAATATTGATGGTATGAACTGAATATAGCATTATAAATATAAGAAAAATGAATCATTTGCTTTATCTTAGTTGTATTTGCAATGTAGTTGGAGGTCATTCAGAATATTGAGAAATGACATAAGAAAAATTTAAAATATGTGTAAATGCTGTGTTTAAAATGCTCTGGTAAGACGTGAAAACATATTGCATTTTGTGTAGCAAACTTGCTTAGTATGTATGAAGTTGAAAATATTCCTGTTCTTTTTTTGTTTTTCATCTTTTTATAGTCTATTTTTTATGTCCAGTTCCTTTGATTTGCTTAATGTCGTAGATATTCTGTGATGAATATTTTTACTTTAATGTACAAACTATCCAAAATATAAGTTATTTTTGCTTTGAAATATTTGAGTATCAGTAAGATAAGGAGTTTCTTCCTCAAAACCAATAATGAGCTGTGTGCATGTTCGTACATGTACATATCCAAGCTCAGTCATGCCAGAGTGCTCTGCTCGGCCGACGGGTCAGCCCAGGTGCTGCGCTCTAGAATTCACACAAGCAGGCTGAAGGTCCTTATGCTGAGTCTGTCCCAACATTGTTGACAAATACTATTAACATCATGCCAATGCCTTTTTAACACGTCACATTTTTCTAAAAACAAATTGTCTTAACCTTGAATCTGGTTTTTATGACATCTAAGTAAAACCATAACTCTGTCTTTTGAAGTAGACAGTGGCATATTCAATCAGCATCACTGTCAGCATCTGTTCAGACCTCTTAGACAATGTCACATTTTAAAGGGGGTGCCTGTTAGGTTAGGATTACTCTTTAAAGGGCACAAGCCTTTGCATGACAGTGGATTATCAATCATTTGCACTGGTCACATTCAGTTGTTTCATGTTTTAAATTGACTTCGTCTCATAATCCAGAGCTACTCCATGGATGTGTATTTGTGGATGTGCTAATTCTCTTTGTCAAGGAACTGAAGCTAGTCTAAATTTTCCAATGAGCTTTTATTGTATTAAGATTCATGGAAGAAATAAAAGTGGACTAATTTTGAATTCACGTGTATATATTTGATATGGTTTTTTTTTTTTTTCTCTCCTCTGTCTGCCTAAGGAAATAGAGAAATTGAGACTAGAACTGAGCGAGAGCAAGCAGCATGTGGAACAGGAGCAGCAGAAGGCAGCTCAGGCCAGACAGGAGTGCCTGCAAGTAACAGAGCTGCTGGGCGAGTCTGAGCGCCAGCTGCACCTCACCAGGTATGCCCTAATCCCACCCCGCACTCAGCACCCAGTGCGTCTGTCCCACTGGCTCCTGCCACAGGCTGCCAAACAGTTGTTAGTCTTAGTCATTCAATTCGCACACAGCTTTCAGGCATATTACAGAAAGTGGATATGTGGCAAGCAAAACACCCAGACACGTGAATGATGAGTGTGGCAGGGAATCACTGATATATTACAAAACCGTTTGTCTACAGTGCTCAAATATTTAAGTGATGCTTTATCAGTATAAGCAAGATGACATATTTCTCCCACCACCACCTCTCCTATTAATTGTATGTCTAATAAAGATGTGAAAATGAAGACTATGAGGAAATGTATTTACGAAAATCACCAGCTTCTGTCAGCAGTGAGAGACAAAAGGAGGAGACATGCTAAGAGCAGATTGCAATGGAGTTGATACAAAAATAAGGGACGTGTTTCCTAAGGAGCTGGGAAATTTGGAGATGAAGTTGAGACTCTTTGCATTCAGATCGTTATTATAAGCGGTTTAGTGCAGCAAGGTATTTTGTTGCAACGTTTTCCCCATAAGATGTTGTAGTGCATTCGTCATTGTGGCACATTTAAGTGAGCATATAGCTCATTCAGAATTAAAATAGGACTCTAGGTTGCAAGCATTGTGAGTTTGCTGATTTAGAAACACACACATGCACGTGCATGTGTGTACACATGCATATACATAAACATACATGCATGTGTGTGTACATATGCACATACATAAACATACCCCGAAAGAAAAATCCAGACAGAGAAGTAAATACTTCATTTCACCACTTCAGACTTTACAGCTTTCGGTTTTTATATCAATCCTGTGCGTTTGTTCGATTCTCAGAGGGTCTCAGTTTTGAGAGAGAATTTTGTCTACAGTCACTGTAAGTTTATGATATTTGATTTAATTTACAACATAAGAAAACACTGGTCTTCCCGTTGCAGTACGATGTTGAATTTAAACTATGAAAGGAGAATGATCCCTTTTGCATTAAATATGACAATGTAATTCTGAGCACGGTATGATAACAGATGGAGAAAAGCACTACTTGAACAGCCTGCATTTGGAGAAAAAAATATTCTAGAGGTTGGTGAACCTCCCAAAGTTTTGGGTTAGTGCTAAGATGCCTCCAGTTCTGTTCAAATCAAACTTTGTTAAAAACATTTTGTTATGATAATCTTCCAAATGGCTTGACACCTTCTGATTTAAGCAGTGAGAGGAGAGAGCAAAAGAGAGGAGAGGAGAGAAAGCACTTTAGACACGGATGGTCCCTGGGGAAAGCCCCAACAGATGAAACACTCTGGTGAGGAAAAATGCCTAATATTGCAGGATAATAGCTGCTCTTTTAGTGCCCATTTAAAGCATTGTCACTGTGGCACTGAGAACACACTATTAACCCCATTCCTGTGGTTATTTAATCCTCAAAATTTTAAACTTAGCTTCATCATGATAATGTTGCTAGTTTTTCTTTTCTGTCAGACTTCTATTGAGAATCAACCATTTGTGTGTTCAACACTCCTAAGCTATAGAAATGGGACAGCTTTTTAATGTCTTGGTGTGACCGAGCTCTGGTAAATAAATATTAATGCTGCTTCTGCCCCTTTGCGATTCTGTCTTGTTCGGAGTTAATTTCTGGAGTCAAAGTCCGTTAGAGTTTCCCTGCAGTATCAGTTTGTACCGTCTGACAAGATCAGTTCCTGCAAGTGGAGCGTATTAAGATACAGTCACTGCTGCAATGGACGCGTGGTAACTAATTCCTTTGTTCTTAAGAGAAGAGGTTGTGCTGGGTTCCCTAGGTAGCTTTTGTCTGCTGTGCTTCCCTTATACAAAATCTGTAAAAATGTAAGCCCACTGTATAGAAATAAAGCTTAATTGACTATTTTTAAGTGTAATACTTTTTATAGGCATTTTATGCTTCATTTATGTTCATGTTTGATAAAGACCACAATCATAAATTTAAAAAAGACAATTCAAACGCCAGGGAACCAGACACATTTCTCCTTCACACTGGAAATCAGCCATGCCTTTTGGGCTGAGTATTTCTGACATGTCTTTTTAGAGTTTTTGCACTCGCGGTTCTTTATTCATTCAGTATACCCGTGAGTGTGACTGGGAAGTGGCCCCTTTCTTTTTGTGTAGGTCAGCTGAAGTACAGAACCCTCCTGCAAGTAAGCATTTCGCCATTCACTCTCAGACATTTTCAGTGACATATTCTAGCCAAATTTTAAAAAGTAAATATGAAAACCATCTTATAAAATGATAGTGAAATAATGAGTCAAATCTATATAGGCAAATCAAAAAATTAAAACAGGAGTAGAAATCTGTAGATCATTCTGAAAGAATCATCTACCACTTTTGATATTTGTCCTTATTTAAATTCAAATTGCATTAAAGTTGGGAAATAGAAATTCAGCCTTCACTGAAGGAGCCAGCTGGTAAGTATAATGTTTACTTGGTACACAATTATTTATTCAACACCTACTAGGTTTTAAGTAATTTGCTCATCCTTAAGCACCGAGAGGGAAAATAAGAGTCAGTTTCTGCCGTTCGGTTGTTGACACTAAGCTAGAGGAGTCGGCTCTCACATGGAAAGACAGGAGAATGTTACCCCAATGCAATGCCGTGCCGAAGGAAGGGCTACTGCAGAAACACATAGAAAGGAGAATGGGCTAGCTCTGCACTGCAGGACAAAACAATAGCGAAAGCTGATGGCTAGGGAGGGCGTTTGGTAAAAGTCTGAATGAATAAGTTTATGTTGAGTTCCAAAGTGGAAAAAGATAGGATAGGTATTCTAGATAAGGGACCGGTGTATACAAAGTTATAATTACAGGAGAAAACATAAACTCTACTCTAAGGTTTGCTGGTAGGTAGGAGCTAAGACCCGAAAGGTTCTCAAGAGGAGACCAGAGAAAGTGTAGTGGGCTATGCTGTGGAACTAGGTGGTTCTGAGAGGGGTTGTCAGTTCTTGATACACTAAGCTTGCTGTCCACACAATGGATGATGGGCATTCGGAATTAGGATCCCTCTGTAGCATCGTGGACAATGAGGTTGGAGAAGAGAACCTGGTTAGGACAATGTCATCATCTAAATCTCAGGCCACATCTGGTCTGCTGTCTGTTTTTGTGTAGTCCATGCATGGAGAATAGTTTTATACTGTTTTAATAATTGGGGCAAGTAAAACTAATATTTTATCATACCTAATCATCTGTAAATGAACTTTTGTGGGACCTAGCCACAATTATCCTGTGGGTGATGGATGACTGGTGGCTGAGCTGAGTGAGATCTGCAAAGCCTGAACTATTTACTGCCTGGCCATTTACAGAGAAACTTAGATTCCTCAGGTGCTGCCAGTGAGGTGTCAGGAGCTTAGGACAGACTCAAGTGTGCATTTTTAGAAGATGAGTGAAAAGTATTCTGAAAAATAGATTGGGGAAGAGAGATTTGTGGGGGTCCCATCAGAAAGGAAGCATAGAAGTCCAGGAGTTGGTAATGAAGGCTGAAGCCAATGGCTGTCCCAGCTAAATGAGTGGGGAATCATGTGTTCAAGAGGCATTTTTTAGATAGTAAGTATGAGAGGATCAATCAAAAGTGACTCCATAATTCCTAGTTTAGATTGATTGGATAATCCTTAGCTTCAACCAGGAAATATAAAGAAGTAACAGAAGAAAAGAATATATTGTATTGGGAAACCTGAGTGTCATGTAACTTCTGTGTGAGGAAAAGGTACTGGCTAGAGCTTTCGACCTAGACGCTGCTACACAGAGATATTTAGTTATTTATAGATGGATGGATGGATGGATGGATGGATGGATGGATGGATGGATGGATAGACAGATAATAGATAGATGATAAATCTTCATGATAAGGGACCAGTATACATGAATATATAAATTTGGGAGTGTGTTGAAACCATTTCAGGAAAAAAAAGATTTTTATTTTTTTTTTTAGCTTTGGGCCTTATGTATGCTAAGCATACACCCTACCACTAAATACAATTCTAGTCCAAGGACCCTGTTTTTAAAGTTCAATGGAAAAGAGCCACTGGCCAACAAAAGTAAGATGGGGCTTTCAGATGTATAAGAAAAAAGAAAGATGATGTGAGACAGTTTGGTGAAATAACCAGGTGCTATTAAAGCTCACGTGGTCGCTAAGGGAAGTCATCGAGGATGTCTAGGACTCTGGAGACAGACTGGTCTTTGGGTGGCATCTACTGCTGCAGAGACAAACCTCTGTGTAGTGGGGCATCTAGGACCGCGTAGATGAGCCTGAGTTATAGCAAGGTGTCTAGGACTCTGGAGACAAACCTGGTTATAGTGGGGCACTGGGACTGTGGAGACCAGCCAGGGCTACAGTGGAGTGTTTAGTGTTGTGGAGAAATCCCGGGCCATAGTGTCTTCTTAGGAATTGCACTGTTTTTCAATCTTTAGAATAATTACTTAACTCTTTAGGTCTAATTACTTGTAAAATGAGGTGAGACTAGATTACTTATTCATTTTTCTATTGTGACTCTGATAGGACTTACACTTACAAAATTACCAAAATTACCTCTTTTTTTTTTTTTTTTTTTTTTTCCAAGACAGGGTTTCTCTGTGTAATAGCCCTGGCTGTCTTGGATCTCGCTCTGTAGACCAGGCTGGCCTCAAACTCACAGAGATCTGCCTGGCTCTGCCTCCTGAGTGCTGGGATTAAAGGCGTGCACCACCACCATCGCCTGGCACAAGAATATTCTTTTTGAATTCCCATTTCTGAGTGCTTAGATTGCTTCAGATATCTTTTGTATAAGATGCATTCTTAGTTTGCACTTCCCAGGGATTTTTCAGAACTGTCTCTCAGCTTTCCATTCCTGCTTGTTGTAACACAGGCTCCACCAGTCTCTCCAGGGGTTATGGAGGTAGTCTCCTAACACCTGTCCAATCTTCAGCTAACCCTTGCACAGGGAATAGTCACACACCACCCTCTTGACTGTCCCCTTGCTCTCATTGGAGCCTTC